GGCCAGATTGCTTTTGTCTTCAGGAGTTCCCAGAGAGGCCCAAGTCAGATGAGGATCAGATGCTCTCAGGCTTTCTCCTAAGGTCTGGATCCCTCCAGGAAAGATTTTGGCCTCAGGAATTTGGGGGTTGGACTGGCCCAGGAGCCAGGCCCAGGAAAGATGCTGGTCTCTGGCAGGTGGTGGCCATGACACTCAGAGATGCAAAGGGAGATGGGGTGGGAAGAGGCCCCAAGGACTCCTGGAGACTGAACTGAGGAACTGGGTTGGTCTGGATGCAAAGGATCAGGAAGACAAAGTTCAGCCCTGATGTCCAGGAAAGAGGCTAGCAGGTTGTGTAGCCCAGGGAAGCAGAGGGATGTGAGGGCAGGACCAGGCCCAGAGGGCTCCTGAGGACTGGGTCCATCTGCATGCAAAGGATCAGGAAGCAGTAGTGGCAGAGAGGTCAGCCCTGGGGTCCAGGAAAGAGGCTGGTGGGCCTTGCAGCCCAGGGAAGCAGAGGGAGGTGAGGGTGGGACCAAGGCCAGAGGGCTCCTGGGGTTCTTGAGAAGGAACTGGGTTGGTCTGGATGCAAAGGATCAAGAAGCAGTGGTGTTTCCCCAGGTGTCTGGGGCACCAAGAGAAGGAACTGGACAGGATCCAGCCTAGGAGGAGAGACGGGTGGGCAAGATGGGAGGGTGAATGAGGCTCCGGGAGTCAAGGAGTAGAAGGCCCGATCGATTGCTGTACCCAGGAGAGGGTACTGTGGGTCCTGCAGGCCCAGGGAAGCAGAGGGAGGTGAGGGCGGGGCCAGGCCCAGAGTGCTCCTGGGAACCTGAGAAGGAACTGAGTTGGTCTGGATGCAAAGGATTAGGAAGCAGTGATGGTTCCCGTGGTGTCTGGGGCGCCAAGACAAGGAATGGGACAGGACCCAGGCTAGGAGGACATGAATGTGGCTGGGGAAGTCATGATGGACTTGCCCGGACAGAGGCCAGCTGGCCATGCAGGCCCAGGGAGGCAGAGAGAAGTCTGTTGGATTTTAAGAATGAACTTGTGTGTGCTCTGGTGTAGCTCAGCCAGTTTCCCCCTGGCTGCCAGGGCAGGTATTTGCATCAGATTCATTCCTACGCTGGCAAGAATTAATTCTGAAGCTGCTTTCCTGAAGTCCAGAACAAGAGCATACTGAATCTAAGAACAGGCTGGGTATGGCAGTACACACCTTTGATACCAGGACTTGGGAGGCAGGGGCAGGGGAATCTCTGTGAGATGGAAGCAAGCCTGGTCTACACAGTGTTTCCAGGCCAGCTGGGGCTACAGGGAGAGCCTGTCTCAAAACAACAACAATAACAGCAACAAAACAAAATAAAAAACAAAAGCAAACAAAACAAGAATCTTGGAACAACAGGAGGTAACACGGATCTCCCTTGGAGTTCCTGGGGATCAGCCTCTTCTATGCACTGGTGGCAAACAAACCTGTGCATTTCCCCTGGTGACATCTAGGCATTTAAGCATTTTGAACACTGAGGAACTTTTGGCAGCTTCATAGCAACATCACATGGTCTTGGTGCTTTCTTTATGTCTTGTCCTAGAAACATTCCAGATTCCTGCCTTCCTTCTGTATACTTTCATCCCTCCCCCACCTTGTATAGTCCCATCAATAATAAGAGACATCCACACCAGAGAAACTCCTATCTTTACCCACAGTGACAGAAAGAGTGTCCTCATCCCTAAGCAGCCTCCTGGGCCCAATCACTGGTGCCCCGTGCTGGGCAGCAGAATCGACTCCAGGTGCGCTGAAGAGCTTCATTGACCTCCTTGTTTCGAAGGCTGTAGATGAGTGGGTTAAGAGCTGGAATAACAAGGGTGTAGAACACAGATGCCATCTTGTCAGTGTCCAGGGCATAGCTGGAGCTTGGACGCACGTACATGAAAATTAGGGTCCCGTAGAGCATAGCTACAGCTGTGAGATGTGAGCCACAGGTCGAAGCTGCACGCCGGCGTCCCTCCGCTGAGCGCGTACGAATCACAGCCCCAGCGATAAAGCCATAAGACACAGCAATAGCCAACACCGTGGCTGTCTGGATGAAGCCACAGACTGTAAAAAGGAGGAGTTCGTTGAGACTGGTGTCATTACAGGAGATGGCCAACAGTGGAGGGATGTCACAGAAGAAGCTATTGACCTCCTGTGAGTGGCAGAAACTCAGGCGGAAGGTGAAGGTCGTGTGTACAAAGGCACTCACTGCCCCACCCAGGCCTGATGCCCCTAGCAAGGCTAGGCATAGACCGGGTGACATAACGGTAGTGTAGAGGAGAGGGTTTCCGATGGCCACATAGCGATCATAGGCCATGACTGCTAATAGGCAACACTCGGCATCAGCCAGCCCTGCAAAGACAAACATCTGGAGGGCACAGGCTAGATAAGGGATGGTTGCACGGGGTAGCAGGAGATCCACTAACATCTTGGGGCCGATGGCTGAGGAATAGCAGGCATCCAGCAGGGAGAGGTTAGCCAGGAAGAAGTACATGGGTGTGTGGAGCCGGGCATCCACATGGATCAACATCATCATGCCCACATTTCCCAGCAGGCTGATCAAGTAGACAGGCAGGAAGATCAGGAAGAGGGTCACACGCAGATCCCAGCGATTTGTGATGCCTAAGAGGATGAATTCAGCAGGGGTAACTCTGGTCCAGGTGAAGTTTTCTAGGCTCATTCTGCTGGGCAGAGACTGAAGACAAGGAAAACAAAAGGGGGGTGGGGGATAGACAGCATGGGGATGGCAGGTAAGAGAAAGGTCATGTCCACCATAGTACAGAAAGCAGTGTGTCCTGGGTTCTAGTCTTGACTGACCAAAATTGCTGTGTGATCTTGGACAAGCCATTTAACCTCTCATAACCATTGCTTCTAACACCTAGGAGTCACTGTAGTTTTATCTTCATGGAGACAGAAGTCTTGTCTTATTTTTGTACATAGTATTGAGAACATTGCCTAGCATATCGCAGGTGCTCAGTAAATACTTGCAAAATGAATGAATGGTGAATGAGATGAAATTTAGTGTTGGCCCAGGGATTGAAAAATATCCCGTCTCTATGTGCATTCTCTCTAGCTTCCCAGGGAGGGAAAGACACATGAATGGGTAGAAATGGTCTCCTGACCCAAACAGCAACTTATTTTGGCCCTTGAGGTTTGTTGGGAGGTCTTCTTTCCATTGGATAAGACCCGGCAAAGGAGTGATCAGATATCTTGGGAAGATTTTGAAATCTGGAAAGAACAGAGTATGTGAGTGTTGACAGTTTTTCTGAACCTTAGATTTTCTTCTCTGCATAATGAAGGGGAAAGTGGTAAGGATTTAGTAAGGTAATACATGTGAAGTGTCTTGCACACGGTCTGATTCATAACAGATTTAGTGAAGGTTCATTGAACTGAATTGGATGCTTTGGTTCAATACAGTAATGAAGCAACTTAAAATTTATTTATTTTTATTTTATATCTATGAGTGTTTTGCCTGCATATAAGTTCACCACCTGTATGCAATGCCTGTGGAGGTCAGAAGAGGGTGCTGAATTCCCTGGAACTGGAGTTTCAGATGGTTGTTAGTTGCCATGTGGGTACTCGGAACTGACCCCAGGTTCTTCTGTAAGAGCAGCAGGTGCTCTTAGCCACCAAACCATCTCTCCAGGACCAGTAATGAAGAAACTTTAAGGCAAGTTCAGAAATAGTGCAACTTCAAGCACAATGTTGCTGTGTACTCCTAACCCTTTTCACTCATTCCCTTTATCTAGGACCCATTTCTCCTTTTTGTACTTGACAAAAACTATCTCCAGTGGGAACCCTTCCTCATTTACCCTGAGGACACTAAGTCTCTCCCACATCCACCGTACTATGTCACCATTATAATACAAACACTGTTGATGCTTGTCCTGTGAGCTTTGAATTCCTTTAGTATTCATTCATCAAATATTTATTGAGCATTACCATATTCTGAAAACGGCCTTGGAATTCATTTTTGTGTCTTCAGATTCTGGTATGTAATCAATACTAAACAAAAGTAGAGTAAATAAAACAATGGAAAGAGTAAGGACATTAGCAGCATGCAAGCTTGGCTTTGAGACTGGGTTTCACCCCTTTCTTATGTACAGTTTCCATCAAGTCACTTTGTCTCCCCTATCTCTGTTGAAAGTGCTTTAAGAGACAAAGGGCATGGCACTGAGATGGACTCCTTCTGCTCGCCCCCTTTAGAGAAGCTGGTGAGGCCATGCTTTTGGAAATGTAAGATGGGACATAAAAACATACTGCTGGTTAGAGATGGGGTTCCAGCTAAACTACCCCGTGGCATCTCAGATGATTTAATCACCTTTGGTTTCTCCCCATCTCCAGAGCAGATGTGTGTGTGTGTGTGTGTGTGTGTGTGTGTGTGTATTGAATCCAGGGCCTTGAGCATGCTAGTCATGCATCCTCCCACTGAGCAACACTCTCGTACCATGTTCCTTATATTTTAAAACTCACCTCGGGAGTCATCTTTTCTAGAAAACACTTTCTGGACATATGACCACTCAATCTTTTATGCTAGAATCCCAATCTAGTAAAAATATTTTTAATGGATAGATAACTGTGCACATTCAAGGCTACAATGTGATGTTTTGATCTATGTATGCATGTTAGAGTCAATCAACAATGAAATGTAATAGAAGACCCAGAGATAAACCCACACAGCTATGGACATCTAATTTTTGACAAAGGTGTATGAAAGATGCACTGGAAAAAGATAGTCTTTTCAACAAATGGCGCTGAAAAAATTAGGTATCCTGCAGAAGAATGAAATTAGATCCATTTCTCTCACCTTGCACAAAATTCAAGGTGGGTCCAAACCTTAATTTAAAGCCAAAAATGCTGATGCTGTTAAAGGAAAAAAATAGGGAAAATACTTCAGGGCATAGGTATAAGAAACAAATGTCTGAATAGAACCACAATAGCATAGGAAACAGCTCCAAGAATTGACATACGAGATTATGTGAAATAAAAAAAGCTTCTGCACAGCAAAAGAAACCAACACCAAAATCAACAGAGAGCCTACACAATGAGAGAGAGTCTTTGCCAGCTGTACTTCCATCGAGGGTTAGTATCTAGAATACACAGGGAACTGAAAAGACCCAGAGAAACAAAACACCAGAGAAACAAAAATGCCAACCAAGAATGGGCCAATGATCTGAAAAGACAATTCCCAGGAAAAGAAATGCAAATCGTCATTAAACACTTAAAACATATTAAGCCTCTCTAGCCACCAGAGCAATGCAAATTAAAATGACCGAGATTCTGTCAGAATCTCCACCTAGGCCGAATGACCACTATCAAGAAAACAACGGACAACAAATGCCGTGAGGATGTGGGGAAAGAGGAACGCTTATCCACTGGTGGTCGGAGTATAAATAAGTGCAACAATTATGGAAGTCAGTGTGTAGGTTCTCAAAAAAATAAAACTTCCGTATGACCCAGTTATAACCACTCCTGGACATACAGCCCAAAGGACTCTTCATTCTATCACAGAAATGCTCATGAGGCAGGAGACTAGGAAGCTGGAGGAGGAGGTTCCAGACGTTAACATGGGAAAGATGGCAGGAAAGACTGGCAGCCTTTAGTTTACCCGAGCTTCGTTCAGCCAAAGGAGCATAAAGCTGGTGATTATATGAACTTGGAGGAGGTGGGTACTTTGTTACCATAAAAGGACACTGTGCACCTCACCTCAGCCTTTCCCCTCTTTTGCACTCTAGATGCTAGGCCACAAGTGAGATATGGCATACCTCCAGGCCCCTCTCTATCTCCCCTTTAAACTATCTCCTTTCTTTTAGACTCAGATCCATGCCTGCTACCTATGCATATCCGTGTTCATTGCTGCTCTTTTCACAATAGCTAAGAAGTGGAATCAATGCTTTCCAGTTCCATCCATTTCCTTGCAAATTTCAGAACTTCATTTTTCTTATCCTTTCATCCATTGATGAAATTAGTGGATGGAACCGGAAAGCATTGTATTAAACAAAACAGTAGTGGAGCTCCAGTTCCATACATGTTGTTCATGAGAGAAGTCAGCTGCCTGACTGAAGCCCTACAAATGGAACACAACTGACGGCCAAGCCCTTGTGTGTTGCTCTATCCACACGAAAACCAAGCACTACTCACCTATTAAAGTGAGGAGCAGAGCTGCTTTGAGTATCTCTCCATTTCTTGAGAAAATGATGAGGCTTTTAGGTTGATTTTTGTTTTCATAAAAAAATTAAGCAAAAATGGATGGCACCTGGGCTGGAGAGATGGCTTAGCAGTTAACAGCACTGGCTGCTCTTGCAGAGGACGCAGGTTTGATTTCCAGCACCCACATGGTGGCTAACAACTGTTTATAACTCCACTTCTGGGGGATCTGACACCCTCTTGTAACCTCCGTGGGTATTGTATAACATGGGTGCAATTACATACATGTAGGCAATACACTCATACACAAAAATAAAAGTAATAAATAAAATGTTAAGAAAATGATAGGCAAAGGTAATTCAGTGTTCAATATTTGTGGCAAAATTATGGGTATACCCTCCTTGGACTATAAGTGTTATGAGGATGGAGGTAGTGTCTATTATTTCTAAGCACCTGGCACAGCTGGGCACATAGTATGTGTTAAGGAAACTCTTATGGAATATTGAAAGCAGTTCTCTGATGTGCTCACTGCAACTGACTTAAGCCGTTTATGTATTCTTTATTATTATTATTTTTATTTTATGTATATGAGTGTATTGTCTGCATGTATGTGAGTGTACCCGTGTCATGCAATGCTGTGCAGGTCAGAAGAGGGCTTCAGATTCTCTTCGAACTGGAGTTAAGGATGGTTCGTAGCCACCATATGGGTGCAGGAATCAAAACCCATGTCCTCTGCAAGAGCAGTCAGTGCTCTTAACTGCTGAGCCATCTCTCCAGCCCCTTATGTATTCTTTTCTACAACAAAGGAACTATAGTTTACCCACTCACCCCACAAGGGTAATCAAATAGTCCAAGTCTGCCTGGAACTTTCCTGCTTTTCAGCCCTGAAAGTCCCATGTCCCAAGTAACGTCTCAGCTTCTGGCAAACCCGGATGATTGGTCCCATGGTTACCACAATCTCGAAGGTCACGTGGGATCCACTCTAACTGAAGAAGGGTTTTGCCTTCATGTGCCTGACTTTCTATTTCTTGCAGCATTCACAAGCCCGGTCCAGTTTGGAGCAATATATGCTGACTTCTGCTTCTCCTCCTGATGACTGTTAAGGATTTTCTCTGGCTGGGGTGACTGGTATGCCTGGCATTCCCATCTGGCTATTCTGATCTCTACTGTAGCTGCCTCAAGTCCCTCCCGCTTCTGTTTAGGGGGATCTTACCTTCAAGATGAGAACATTGAGTTCCGAAGAAGAGAGGAGACTTGCCCCAACGTACATAACTATAAAAAGGATAGAGCTGGGGTATGAATGTGGGTTTCCTTATGTCTCCCTCAATACTGTTTCGAGGCAGATTCTGATTAGGTCTCTTACTAGACCATCAAATTTATTACTGCCCTTGTTTTACTTTAGTCTCTCATCTTCAGATTGTGTAGTTTGGATTAGATCAATGTAGTTCTAGGTCTAGTGTCACTCAAATTACTGTTGGAGCTTTGTGGAAACCAGATTTCTATAGACAGTGCTTAGAAATTCTCAAGAGTTGA